TACAGGGTCTTACTACACAGCTCGGACTCGTGGTGATCCTCCTGCTTTCAGCCTCCTCAGTGCTGGGATTACAGGTGTGTCCCACCACGCCCAGATTCTGGCTGGCTCAGCCTGCCTTGGGGGCAAGGCTGGCACAACGTGTCATGCCCGGGATCAAACTGTGGTCCCTGCGTTTGTCTAAAAACTTGCTAAGCAGGCAGCTTTAGTCCTCTGAGCTATCTTGCCAGTCCCCAGAAATTACATATTAAAGAACATACTTTATTATTGAATCTTTCCTTACCACTAAAGGCCCAGATTAAGGGAGGACTAAAGACAATTCAATCCTTTAACCAAAGCCAGAGCTCTGCCACAACACAGCTCTGGGTCTGTCAAATTAAAGTCAGCATTCCTGATGCTGCAATCCCTGCTGAGGAGCCAGTCATCTGGGGAAACTGATCCGATGACCGAGAAAGGATTAAACGACACTGCTCCTCCAATCTGATGACCAAGAGGTCACTTCTCACTGCAAGCCTCTCATCAGTGTGGAGAGCGTGGTGTTTACCCTCAGCTCTCACTTTGAGATGTCTTGACCTAGGTCCAGTGAAAGCGGCCTGAGCCTGGCAAGTCCACTCCACAGCTCACTGGCTTAGCTCTTCTCATACTTACAGAAGGAACCACACGAGTACCCATCTCATGAGGTTGTGGGGAGACACAGGAAATAGGCATCGTTAGGTCAGATCGCCAATGGCCGGCGCCTTACCGAGTATCTCCGGTACCAGGCGGCGACCACAATCTGGCTTTTCTTCATCAGCAGGAAGTGGGTGCGGCACTTCCACCCCCGGTAAATCTTCTGAATGAGCGTGGCCAGGTCCTCCAGCCGCTGCTTCCTCAGGTCTTCTAAGGTGAATAACTAATGGGAAACGTTAGGAGGACTCATCAGGGGGTGGCTGGGCGGAGCCGAGGCGTACCCCAAACTGTCCGAGAGGATGCAGACGAGCTTAGCTTGAGCTTCTGTAACTGTAACTCCCAAGTCTGAAATGCTCTCAAAACCTGCAACCTTTTTTGAGTCCTGACATGATGCTAAAAGCACTTCCAGTTTGGAGCTGCATGCAGTTCCCATCCTCAGATCAGGCAGGCTTGGCCCCCATGGTCAATGCGAGTGTTCTTCCAAAATACCAGTGACTCCAGAGCGTGCCCCAAATGGTCCAATCAATCGCTATGCTATCTTTTTACGCCAGTCTACTCTTTACAGCAAGATTCCTTTGGCACTCTGGGAGGTAGAATGTAAGTGTGCTCTTTAAATTTTAAAATTTTTCATTTCAGTGTCTCCATTTACCTCTAAAACTAGGGCTGTACTCTCAAATGACCGCGTAACTCAACATACAACAACTATGGACTGACTTAGCCTCCAACCGCTATGGACGGGGGAAGTTTTCCCACCACAGTAAGTTTCTTCCTGACTGGTTAAGTTTAATATAATTTGACAGAACGAGGATTTCGATGCTTCATAAGTGACCCATGTGCTGCCACCTCCCCTGGAATGCCCCTGCCCTTAGACACACAGAGGAACAAGGCGTGTGCCCTTCATGGTACCATGTCAAGCACCGTCAAAACTTTAAACATTCTTTAAGAACTGGCTAGTAGGAGTCTGACTTCAGCTCAGTGGGTAAAGGCTTTGGATACGTACTGTTCTTGGGTTTCGGATAAATATCTTTGATCTGCCAAAGGAATACTCTTCCATGGGAATTTCTAATTCATTAAACAAGACCTCCACACCAGATCTAAAAATAAATAAATAAATAAATAAATAGAGATTAAAAACAATGACTTTTATTTTTCTGTCTGAGATACAAAAAGTTTTATTTCATATTCTGATGGTAGGTTCTCTCTTTGTGTGATATAGCTTTAAACCATTTATTTAACTGAAATGGACTTAAGTTTGTTTCCAAAGTGACTTCCATTTATTTTGATACATCTTTTCCCCATGATGATTTACAGGATCTTCAAGCCAATATAAATATTTTATAAATATTTGAATTTTTGGGTATATACCTGCACAATGCCTCAACAATATCTTTCAGCAAGAAAATACTGAAGAGTAAAGGCTAGACACAATTACTAGGTATAGTGAAAATCTGCTGCAAATATTTCTGAGGTAAGAAGGCACCACATACCTGTTCAACTAAGAAAACCACCCTTACAACACAGGATGATTTTATTTTTACATAAGACCTAGAACATTTAAGCTGCCAATTAGGTACTGAATGGCAGAGCAACATCCCCAGTTTATGCCATGAATTCACAGGGAATAGGTTTCAGCAACTCGGGTTCCTTTCCATTGGTCCTCACGAAGTGTGCTTCTCTCGGAGGGGCAGGCTGGCGCTTCAGCTGAACCCAGGTACCTTTCTCTTTGGTTTCCTTCTTTTTCTGATCATATTCCTTGACACGTTTCAGGAAGCTATCATGACTTTTTGAGTGTTTAATATGCTCAATACACACATTAATCCTCTTGGCAAGTATCTTGCCCTTAACTTACTTGTTTACAACAATGCCAACAGCATGCTGGGTAACGTTGTAGACTCTTCCTGTTTTGCCATGGTAACATTTGTGAGGCCTTCCTTTTTGCACAGTACCCCTTCCTTTGATGTCTACAATATCACCCTTTTTGTAGATTTGCATGTATGTGGCCAAAGGAACAACCCCATGTTTTCTAAAAAGGCCTGGAAAACATATACCAGGTTCCCTCTTGCCCTTTGTGTTAGTCATTTTGGCAAATTACTGGAAGATGGCGGTTCTGGCCGAAAGGACAGTATATTTTTCTGTATTTAAACAATTGTTTCCCTATATTCTTAATAATTTCATTTCCAAGTATCATTGCTGTTATAGTAACCATCCTTGCATCAAATAATTTTCAGGAGTGAATTCCACAAATTCAAGCAAATCCAGTAAACCCAAAAAATAATAAATTACGGTTCAGAATAATATATTCTAAGAAAATGGGGCATTAAAACCAATTTCTTGATTTCGTCAACAAGATATTTACATCAAATATACCCCCAATGACATATCAACTAAGGCCAGAAAAAAGGGCAAGAATCTCAAATCAATGCTGAATCAACTCCACTAATCACTGAAAACCACTGAAATACTGTTCGTGCCCCTCAGAGGCAGGGTGAGGCTCAAAGACCAATGTGCTGTCCATGGTAAGAACAGGCCTGACTCGCTAGTTTTATTTTTTAATGTTCTGTTTTTTCTTTTTTTAAATATATTTGATTGTTCCAGAGTCTCACTATGCAGCTCTGACTCACAGTGATCCTGCCGTTTTCAGCCTCCCCAGCATTGGGATTACAGGCATGCACCACTCCACCCAGTCTTGGTGGCTGGCTCAGCCCACCAGGGGGGTGGGGCTGGCACAGCATGTGATGCGGGGATTGAACTGCAGTCCCTGCACTTGCCTAAGCAGGGCTTTAGTCACTGAGCTATCTTGCTGCCCCCATGTTCTGTCTTTTCAACACATGTATGTAGTTCAGGCTGGTCTTGAACTCATTTTGCAGCCTAGGCTGGCCACAATCTCACAGCCCAGTCTCCTGGTGCTGGGATCACAGGCATTTGCCACCATACCTGGCCAGCACTGATTTTTAACATCAACCTTGCTCCACCAAACTGTGGACTAGAAGCCAGCAGGGAATAAAATACTCTAGAAATCAGCAGCGGGAACTGAAGAGCTCCCGGACTCCACATTAGTTGGGCCCTGAATCAGGCATCGGAGGCCACAGCACATGTCTGCATTTCTGCATCTTCCTGGAACGACACAGGTGCAGCTCTAATTATTGTCAACACTCCGAGAAAGGCTGGGTCCACTGGGGCTCGGAAGGCACCTGCAGTTGGTGAGGCAACAGTCCCCCTGGGCCTGGCTCACCCTCTCAGCAGGCTGGTAGCTAGTTAGTCCTCTGACAGAACTCAGGAGAGAGCCCGGAGAGCCCACAAACAAGGGGCAGTCCCTGGCTGGTGACAGCAGAAGAAAAGTCCCTGCACCGACCAGGCCACATGCCCTGCTGCTGCGGGTGCCAGGCACACAGGCTGCTCTGCTTGGGGAGAGCTCACAGGCCTCAGGGGTGCTCCAAGGGGCAGCCTGCTCTGTCCGGCTGGGCAAGCACAATTCCTGACAGACCAGCTGACAGCACACAGCCCCTGGATTGAGGCACAGTCTCCCACTCAGCTAGACCAGCACTGACACAACTACAGGGTCCTGCCTGCTCCTGTAACCCCTGCTCAGTGGGACAGACGAAGGCAAAGCACGGGGCCTGTCCTCCATGGGATTCCCCACGGGAAAAGCCAGAAGCTGACAGCAGGACCCGAGGTGCATCTCTTTCTACGCTCCAGCACATAGCCTCTCCTGTGAACTTAGCACAGCATTTAACATTTAACCCTACGCAAGTTCAAAGTGTGGATTTGAAGGTTCTGTTTGAGCCAACAGACAGTTACGACCTCTTTAATGAGTCAACAACTTCAGCCAAAATGCAATCCAACTGGAAGTGGGTCCAAAACAAAGGTTACCACAAGTTTTCAGACCACTGTTTTGCCTAAGCACCTAAGGGGGTATTATTTGTATAGTTCAAAAATTATTACACAGTTAGTGAGTTTACCTTGCCGGGCCCTTCCAATGAGGCCACGTTTGTTTGCAAAGCATCTTGTATCTTTCGAGACAAGGTTCGTAGGCCTGCCGGAATGCGTAGCCTGCCCGCCTCACCCGCACATTCTCCAGGAGCCCCAGATACCGGATCTGATGACACACCAGGCTCTCGGTGAAGATGTGAGCTGCCTTCTTATCGTTTGGCTTGATACACCTAGAAGATTTCAATTATTTGTGGTCTTAGCTTCCACCCTCCGTAGATGTAACTGCAGTGTATTCCTAAGGCCTCTGTCTAATCATTTTGTAGTGAAAGAGTTCTCTTTTATTCTTGGTGAACCCAATCACTTTATTTTTTAACTATTTCAAGCTAAGTAAGTACTAGTAATTAAATACACACAATCATACACTCAGTGGTGCAGACAGGTATCACTGACATTCTGGAGAGCAGTCTGAAAAGACACTGCATGCTGGGTAACGCCACATATCTGATGTTCAAAAAACCTCATGTAAAGCAGCACTGCTGTGACCGCTGGTGGGAAGGGTCCAAGGGAACCTCCCGGATGATGATAGAAATGCTTTCTGTCCTCGTCTGAATGGGGTAAAATGTGCCACATACGTAAAAAGCCAACATGCTGCACAATTAACTCATGCGCTCTGCTGAATGTATACTACACTTCAATCAAAAGGTAAGGTACTCTGTTTTCTCTTTCTTTTTAATATGGCACTTTCCAGCCTTGGGAAAGCCTCCATTCCCAGCATCCTTTGCCAGTACGGATGGCCATGTGACCCAATTCTGGCCACTAGGGTTAGAAGTAAGGAGGTTGCTTCTGGTGTTTTGTCTTCAGAAGGAAGGGATTTGCTGTTGTCTTCTAGTGGAGCTGGCTGCTAACACAGTGAGGGTGAACAGTCATCTTCAACCACAGAGGTGAGGAATAAACCCCGGAAATGTCATCGCCACAAACTAGAAGGAGCTGCCCTATTTGTGCCGGAGTCCTTAAAAGTTGCATAAAAAATGAAGGCTGCTCCTGTCCTTTTTAAGCCACCATTAGTTTAGGGATACACAGCAGTGATTCCTATGACCTAAATAAGAGTTGTTAAAAATTCATGATTATGGCTGCCTAAGTAGTTTTCCCTTGGTGTTTTTATGCTTTTCCTTTTACCATTTATAAATATTATATTTACTCTTCGGCTTAAGTATGAGCAGACAAATTGAGGAATGGTAAGTTCAGACCCAGGGTCTGAAAGTTCAAACCCAGATATATATTCAACGAATTACCAATAAAGGCACCAGGGCAACTGGCTAGAGAAAAGAATTTCTTTTCCCCTTAATATCTGGTGCCAGGGAAACAGAATACCTGTATGGGGGAAAGTACAGCTAAATATGAAATCTGAAACTGTAATGATTTCATGAAGAAAACATGATAATACACTCACAACCCTGAAGTTTATTAAGAGTTCTTGAGAGGAAATGTAAAAACAAAGAGGAGGGAGGGAATGAAAGAATTTTCTGGAATGATGGATGGAAATGTTTTCTGTCCTGACCTGTGTGGTTACCAAGGTGCATGGAAAGGTTAAAAACTTCAAGTCTTCTCCTAGGTCCTGCATGTCACTTGCTATCAATGATCCCTCAATAAAAGAGCACAAAAAAAATCAAAAAATCCACTCACTTTAGAATAACAAAAGCTACTGATCGCAGACAATTTGCTGTAGAAAGCTAATTTTCTCCTAATGTATGTGCTCACCTAACAGCAGTCAAACCAGGACATTTTGCCTAGTTATGTTTCTATTGACAGAAAGGTAAACCGGGCAAACACACAAATGTCCTTGGCTCTCTCTGGTTTCCTCATAACCAAGCTTTCGTGTCTGTGTGTGTGAGTGCAGTGGAGAAGCTCTTGTGCAGTCTGAGCTTGCAGCCAGCACAGCTCCCAGGCTAGGTCCCGAAAGGCTTCCACGGCAAACACAAGTCCTCGTGGGTCCTCCCTGAATCCGGACACAGGGGCATCTAAGAAGACCTAAAAGCTTTAAAAAGAGGCTAGCGGTTTTAAGAAGTCCTTTCTACTGCCTTCAAGATGCTCAAGGTTGTTTTAGGTATCATTATTCACTCCTGGCCCACAATTCTCCCCAGAAAAAAAAGGGGCCAGCTTCCTTACAAACAGCAGAGTTGCAACTGAAGTGCCTCTGCTCCTAGTTAATATTGCAGGAATCCAAAATGACACCAGCCAAAGAGCTATCTGCAAAACCCTGACCAGGAACACATTTGCTATTTTATTTCCTAATTTGCCATTAAACAAACAAACAAACAAACAAACAAAAACCCACATTAAAAACACAGAAGTAGAGAATCTCTAGGCACCAACCACTTAGCTTCAAGAAGTGCCTCTCGTCACCTGCACTGCGTCACTCTTTCTCCCTTACGTTTATTTCTCTTTCCTTATTTTTGAGAAGAGAAGGACAGTGGAATATTTTCAAGCCAGCCCCAGGTATCATATTATTTGATCTGTAACCACTTTACTTATCCTCGCTTTGGTTGCGCTCAAGATTTAAGCAAATAGGAAAACAACATTCCTTAGGAATGCGCTCACATTTGTATTCTAAATGCCAGAAATACCTGATATAGTTCGGGTTCTTGGTCTGTAGGTTTTTCATCAGGGTGGCCACGGATGCCTTGAACTGTGACCCTGCTGTCGGGGGCCTTTTCAGGTTGATCTTGGCTGGATTCCCTTCAGGGAACAAAGACTTGATAAGGGTGTGGCTGGCCTTCCACATGGCTTGGGACAGGTCTCGGTAGAGAAGGTCATTGTTCTTGTCAACAAACCCTTCCACCTGGTACAGCACCTGCAAGCAGGACACAAACTCAATGGCCAGCACAGCGCGCACAGTAACGCCACCCAGCTACTCCAAGCACATCCGCACTGCAGCCGCTGCCTTCCCCACCGCAAAATCCCTGGCGCGCTGCTCACACTCAGCCCCAAACGTGCCTTCATGTGTAAGCTCTAAGCTGCAGAAGAGACCTAAAGAAGCTCTGCTGCTCCTCAGGAATTACAAGGACGTGAGAAGATAACAACGTGCAAAGTATTAATTATTGAAAATGTCCTATTAATCAGCTTGGAAAGTGTCTCATTGATATTTGTTTCTTAATAAAATCAAAATTTAAAAAAAAAAAGAGGGGGGGAATTACAAGGACAAAAGTGAAAAACTGCCACAAAGGCGCAGAAGACTTTTGGGTTGTTGTGGTGTTTGAACATATTTTGAGATATTTGCAAAATATTTGCAAAATAAATGTAAACATATATTTACATTTATTTTGCAGTTCATCCACTAGTTCTGGGCTGTTTAAAAGTAGATGGGTGAAAAGCAGACAACGGTTATGTCCTCACAGATTCCCTAAAGTGGCAGAGAAACTGGTCAGAGACAGATCTTCTCATGCAGGCAAATGGAAAACATAAGGCACCAAAGTGGAACTAAAAGGCCATCCAAATACTATATATCTAATTTTTATTAAATACATAATAACTATTTTGCCTTTTGAAGTTTGCAACCTTATATCATATTTATCTTAGTGATATTAACATTAATGAAATAAGATTTTCAGGGCCGGGGAGATATCTCAGTAGAATAAGCACCCGCCTGGCAAGTGCAAGGTCCTGAGTTCAATCCACCGTACTGCAAAAAAAAAAAAAAAAAAAAAAAAAAAAAAAATCTCAAGGTTAAGCTAACATTATCCTTATGTACCACAAGTATTCTCCCCAGTGTCTTCAAAATCCAAAAAAAAAAAAAAAGTATTTTTGTTAATTGGGTTTTCTTTTCTTTTTTTACAACTTTACTGGAGGACTTCAGTCATTCCTACTTTTCACTGCTAAATCTCCTTTGTTGGGTGTTGATGCGTATTTTTGTACAATAGCTTATAACTGACTTTTTAAACATGTTGGAACTGTTCCTGAGGTCTACTGGACTAGCTCTGCTTTCAGTTCTCTGCATCAGTGAGACTTTTCTCCAAACTGTCCCCATCTGATTCCTGAAGGATCCACTCGTCCTTCCCAGCCCAAGAGTGCGGGAGACCCTCCCACGTGGGCCAGCCTGCGGCACGCGGGCTGCTGCTGCCCACCTTGCCCGCGTAGTGCTGGATCCGGAAGCAGCTGTGGGGCAGGGACGTATCATTGAGGAAGCGCGAGCTCTTGCTCATCCTGCTCTCGAAGTGCTGGTGGGTGGCGCACACTTGGTTCAGCTTTTCCAAGAAGGTCTCATCCGTGACGGTGCCGGGCCGCAGGCACTCCTCGTCCAGCATGGCCAGGATGCCGTTTGTGTTCTGGGAGGGGGAAAGAGAAGCATTTCCTTCTCTCCTTCCTTGCTGCACTTTAGAATGATCACTCTTACATGCCTCTGCCTTTCACAATCAACCACGGGAGTAAGAAAATTCTGCCCAGTTACAACAAAGAGCAGAAAATCCAAACAAATCGCACAAGCCACAGAAAGCAGCCTTCCCGAGCAGGGCCAACTGTGGGGGGAGGGGTCGGGCCAGCAGTCCCTGGGCCACCGCACTAGCACTGACACCCACCGTCAGCTGAAAATCAAACGCAAACCATAGGCAGTGGGGCAGTCTAGCCTCTAGCCGCATCACAGATCACCGTGCAAAGGAAAGGCCATTATTTTTATTCATTGTACAAAGAAAACTGGCTTCATTTGTTTCCAAACTATTCATGGTGTTCAATATATAGTTGAGTGTTTAGTGGCAACAAATAAATAAGCTATCGTTTGGGATGTTACTCTTCGTGACTGTTGTGGTCTTGCTGTTCTCAAGAATATGTTCAGAAGAGAATTCCTGTTTCATATAAAATTTCCCAACAGGCAGGAACCATGGGTAAGAACTTATCATATATTCAGACCCTGTGACCCTTATAGCAAAAGCATGTAGCCTTACACAAAAAAAAAATCAGAAATCAAAAATCAACTTGGATGAACAGGTGCTGCTGTCCCTTTGGCTGCCCCTACAGGCCCTTGAGTCTTAACTCTAAGCACAACCTACTCGCTCACCAGCACGCCACCCATGTCCCCGAGGCCCCCACTCCTCTTCCCTTCCCTCACGAGGCCCTGACTCCTCTGACCAGCACATACTAGCTACACACAAAACCCAGGGGAAGTGTGGATGCGAGGACTCGAGCACACCCATAACGTCCCCAGGACAAACACCACTGTGTCACGACACCGGAAGGAAACCTTCCCTTTACGTGCCCAGGCTCTTGCCTGTGTGGGAGCTTCTCTGAGCTCACCCATGTAGGGGGGTTTTGGCCGAAGTGACCTAGTTAAACTAAACACACTACACACCACACCACACCCCTTTCCTTAAAGGGGGGAAGTCATCAAGTGCCATGCTGTTTATGTTTATGAAGAAAAATGTGTTAGTTGGGAATTCCAAAAGCCTAGAGTTCCCACAGACAAGACCTAGGTCACAGAATTTGCTAGAAAAAACTTTCAGGAAATCTACAGATTTCTTAAAATGGATTTTAGGTTCGAGCTTTGAATTCTTTATGTGGTCTACCAGTGTTCCATTCTAACAGGCTTTTCAAAACAAAGTTTAGTTCTCATTGACAAGTGGTGATGCTTCACAATGCAATTCTTCATGTAACCCAAGATGCAGTTTTTAAGACTATGCTTTTTTTTTTTTTTTTTTTTTTTTTGCAGAACCAGAGATTGAACTCAGGCCCTTGCACTTGCCAGGGAAGTACTTATTCTACTGAGCCATCTGCCTGGCCCCCAAACTGTTCTTTTAAATTTAGGATTAGCCTGAATATTGGGGTGGGGGGAACTCTAGATGATCAGAAAATTTCTTATGGAAGAGAGGAACAAAAAATGATTTGCCATAAATTCAGAGCCTATATTCATAAAACACAGTGCTCACCTACTCTGACAGCTATAGGCCATGGGAAAATAAAATTTACACCTTGACTCAACTTGCTTTATCAAGGTCAAGCATGTGAGTAATCCCAGGCATAAAACTATAAAGACCTCCCAGTTTTACAACTAGTAGGTCTTCTTATAAATAGTCCATTTACAGTAAACTAAAAGATATGATTTGAAATAAAAAATCTTAGATTCTTCAAATCACCCAATAGTTTTTCACACTTTCATAAGCTTTCATACACACACTCAGGCCACCTGAAAAATC